GCAGGAATAAAAGGTCTGTCTGCCAGTGACAGAGCAGCAACATTGAATAAAACAGGCCAGTGATCTGAAAACCGAGAGTCACATATTTCGGTAATGGAAACAGGCAGTCCATGAGAGATCACAAGATCCAAGTGTGTGTCCACGCTCATGTGTAGGGCCATATGCACCGACTGAGTGAGGTTAAAAGAGTCAATAATATTTAAAAAGTCTTTGGCCAATGGGTCATCAGGACAGCAGATGTGGATGTTAAACGCACCAAGTATTAAAAGTTTATCAAACTTTGGCAGGATAAAACCCAAGAAGTCAGAAAACTCCTGAATAAAACCCTTGTTGAATTTAGGAGGACGATAAACCACTGCACACAGCAGTGGATAAGAGAGCTCCACCACAAACAGCTGTAACTCAAAAGTGAAGTAGGTGCAGGTGTCTACCATGAGCTGCCGACATTTAAAACTGGTTTTAAAAACTGACGCCAGGCCGCCGCCCCTGCCTGATGAGCACGGGGAGCTAAGGAAGGAGCAATGCGGTGGGAGAAGTTCAGAAAATGCATAATGCTCACCTTCCTTTAGCCAGGTCTCGGCCAGCAACATAAAATACAGTTCCCGCGATTAATAAAATAAAAGTCTTGTTAGCCAGAGACCTGGCGTTAATCATACCCATCCGGATCGATGAAGCAGAGTTCGGCGGCTGGGAAGACCGTCTCAGTGACCCGAGGTTGGACCACTGGCGTCGCGAAAACCAGCAACTTGGGCTGTGTTTAGTTTAAACTAGTACAGCACCAAAAATAGGGGATACACAAGGGAGGGATTGACGGCGCCATCTCCTAACCGGGAGATAATAATCGGTGCGCTGCCAACTCACACCAATGGCTCTAACCACCAAGGGCAATTTGGGGGTTCAGTGTCTTGGCCAAGGACAATTCGACTGCAGGCACCGAGATACGAACCTCCAACCCTCTGGTTGGGAGACGACTCCTCTACCCACTGCACCACAGTCGCCACCGACTAATAACTGCATTTAAGGAGAGAAGAGCGCCGCCTGTAGGAAGACTGCTGCTCAGTTATGCCAAAACAGATGATTATCATTATGACTTAGTCAACTGTGTCTGACATCATGGCGGGGCTGACTCTGGGCATGCGCAGTGCGCACATGCACGTCGTCTCAGCATCTCCTCGCTGATGACAAAGGATCCTTCGGAGGAACGCGCCGCGCGTGGCCGCGTCCTCTGCGCTCGTGCTGCTGCAGAGAGAAACAGACAGGTGCGAGAGACGGGACGCCGGTGTGTCGGTAGGATGCGCGGGGCGGACAGCAGCAGCAGCTCGACGTGATCGTAGGGTCGGTACCGACAGGGCGGAGCAGCCGCAGCGTAGTAGTGCGAGGAGCAGACCGGAGACATGAGCTGCAACTGGGGCGCCGAGCTGTGGGTACGTACACCTGTTCACGCCTGCTGCTCACCGACATCACCCGGGTACACACTCGGTGACACGATCAACTCATTACCGACTGCGGTGACCGCATATCTGCCGGTAACCGGGCGGCCTGTGTGTGAGTGTGTGTGTGTGTGTGTGTGTGTGTGTGTGTG